TGTGGCCTGTAGGTCACAGCTACTCACACAGGCCTGAAGGTGAACTGGATGGAAGGAAGTGGAAAAATTCTCAACACTTGTTTAAACTAAGCAGACAAACTATGGGAATCTTTTTTAAGTTTTTCAAACTGCTGGATTTTACTTTGATGTCTTTTTGATCTATATTTAATTTTTCTCCAAAAATTAAAACGAACAAGTGAACAGGAAAAGCAGACAACCTATCTCGCTGGTGCACACGGGGACTCAGGCTGGCAGACACGCACTGCCCGCCCCGCCATGCACCCGCGCGCCCTGCAGCAGCCAGGGGGCAGCCCAGCCTGTGGGCCAGGCCTGAGCTCATCACTGAGGACGTCTCCCCGCCCACCTGGCAGAGGAGAACAAGGATAGTTCAGAGAGTTGAGATGGGCACCAGAAGGAGGAAACCAAAGAGAGCTCTCGCCTGTGTACTTCCACAGGAGGCACCCTTAGGAACCACCAAAGGTGGCCTCTAATCCTTTATTGTACTCCCTCCAAAACCCGGAAGCCCCAGCTTTACATTCAAAACACACAAAGGAGTATCAAATGAGAAATACTACAACTAAGGCTTTGTTACCGGGAGATCCGTTTATGAAGGCAATTAATGGCTTCCTGCGCCAATGAAGGGAGATTTCCGGAAGCTTTCCCTGAGGTCACATATGTTCTCCTATTTGTTTTGGCTTCACATTTCCTCCCAGCAAACCAAACAAAACAACAATAACAACAAGACAAGCCCGGGAGGCAACATAAGCGTCAGGCACCAGCCAACCTCAAACAGCTCTTCATCCAAAATTCAAGGAGTGTCAAGAAACTCAATAACCCCTTTGACAGCATGGTGGTCAAATACCCTTTAAGATTTGGGAATCCATGGCTAAGGCCAAACCTCACTTTTTTTATTAGTTTGGATAAGTTCGCTAGAGTTTCTGTAGTTTCTTCAAGATTCCAGAACTTTCTTTTAAAAATTGCTCCTTTGTTACATAGCTTTGAAAAGAAATCTCCCTAGCTCTGACAGAAGCACATGTTTATAGCGGTAAATGTCCCGAGGACAAGGGAGCAGCATCTTGTATCTGAGGAACTTGTGGAAGATGCTTCTCTCTAGCACAGCACCCCATCGTGAGGATCAGCAGCCATGTCTCCTGGTGGCACAGAGGTTCATGACATTCTCGGAGGCTGCTGTTCCCTTATAGCACACGTGAAGAGCAGAAAGGGGTCCTTGCCCCATAACTGACATGCTGGGTGACCTGGGAGAGCGGCCGTGCCTCTGAGAATCCCACTTTCCTCCTGCAGAAGATGGAGGTGCCAACAGCAGCAAAGGCACTGGGTTGCTGGGATGAGTAAATGCAATGATGGACGGAAACCCTCAGCCCGCCACTGAGTTAACAGTAAGGGCTGAGTACGTGCATCCTGTTTCACTCAGGGTCTGTTTTCCTCCACTTTGCTCTTGGACACTGGGGCATTCTCCTCCAACCCCTTCACTCAGTTGAGGACAGTCTACACTGTCCAGTGCTGAGAGAGCTCACCATCCAGTTCTGGAAACCAACACCCAATGCGTTCAGTACAACGTGTCTTTTCTATAACAAAGACACATTCTTTGATAATCAGGAAAAAAGTCTACTCCTTTAACAAAATTACAATGACGTGGAAATGAATGACTTCAATGCTTTTCAAGTTCCCTATAATCCAAGCACATGGCACCGGTGGGGGTGACGTGGGACAGCTCTCACTCTCCCAGATGGCCATCTCTCACCTTCTCTCTTGCCCCCTAACTCTGAACTGAGGACGTGGCTTGCTAAGTTGGTGGGACACCTGTCCACAAGCCCTGCCACATCCTCCCAGCCATGGTGTCTGAGCCCCAAGGCCCCACCGGGAAGGAAAATGCCAACCCCCGGGAAGGGCAAAAGGGTGTGGCCTCATGGCATGCCCCTGCTTCACACAGTGAAGACATATGATGCTAACAGTGAACCGCACTAGGAATGTCTGTTATATCTGAGTGCTAGGCAAATGGTTGTGTGTTCTCTTTTACGGTACCACAACTTCACAAATAAACCTTAAAAAAACAAGAAAAGAAAGAGAAATATGAAAAGAAGGAAAGGCTTGTTTAGTGTAAGAAGTGAAGAGGGCAGGAGAAGAACTCAGAATGGGTCCAAAATAAATGGCCTTTTGGCTTTTTCTTTCTACGATATGGACTTTTCTGACGAGATATTATCCTTGTATGAATTATCTAAAGTCACAATTCGAGATGGCACAAGAATAAAAGGTCAGACTAGTGCTTTTTCATTTGAAGCAAGACTTTATAAGGACTAACTGTATTTAAAAAGTACCGTTATCAGAAAAAAAAAAATTGTGTTGCGTATCGTGCCATTCACAACCAGGAACGGCCAAGAAATGAGACGAGGTCAAGGGTGAGGAGGCCATGGGGCACTTTTCCTCCTCAAAGAAGTGTGTGTTCCAGGGAACAATTCCCATGGTGAATGTTGGAGAAATTGCCGCAAATTTTATAGATCTATATATATATCAGCTTGTTTTCACACTGCCAAGTGTCAAAAGAGTACTTAAGATTAAACTCAATTGTTAGAAAGTGTGCAACAGCAAACTGAGATTAACATAAAAATGCACCGAAAAATGTTCCTGCTCCCCTATCACAAAAACACGGCTTTCAAGAAATTTTCAAATTAATTTGCAAACTATTATATAGACTGAGATCAATATTTCTTTGTAGAATGTATTTTACAGCAGGTTGGAACGACCATCAATGGAGTTTTAAAGAACACCCTTCACTTTAGCAGATTCTAAGGCACGTCTCAACACACAGGCTTCCTGATCAGCGTTTTACGCCTACTGCTGTGTGAGTGCACCTCCTTTCTCTGCCAGCTGCTCATGGACGCTGCTTATAGACTAGTTTAGAATCATGCTGCAAACCCTGACCACGAATGATGCAAGAAAAAAAAAATTGCTAAAACACCAGTAGGCGCAGCATTATCCTTCGACTCTGACCAATGGGAATCTGGTTACGAGCGAGTGAAACAACCAGCTTCAATTTCACGAGGGCACCCTGCCCCATGCGCCGTCTCTCAAGTTGGGTCGTTCCCCTAAAGGAAGAGAAGGGGTGTAACAGACCATAGGGACTGTCCTACGACCCTGAACTGTCATTGTCACATACTGTCTTTAGGACTAGTGAGTGGGACATTAAGAGACATTTATTCAGGAACTATTAAAAATCACATACATATATTTGATCTTTATAAGACGCCTGCAGAGAAGGCACTATTATCCCCTTCTGAGAAATGAGAAAAGAAAACTGAGATATTGAGCAACTTGCCAAAGGTCACAGAGTCAGTGGGTCACCAGGATTTCAGGTCCCCTCCATCCAAAACTGAAGTCCATGGTTTGTCTTTACGCTAAACCAGGAGTCCACATAAGTCTCAACAGGGTGAGCTTCCCAATCCAGAAAACTAATGTGAAGCCCACCTCTCCAGGGTTCACTGGAAAACGACACACATTTCCCACCTTTCCACGGCCGATCAAGCTTTCTGAACATCCCTCCCCACCCTACACCTGGATGAGCACCAGGAAATTGTCTTAAAATGCCCAGCTACACAAGGACTCAGTGTGTAGGCAAAAAATAACACTGGCAAAATGAACTCCAGAGAAAATGCAAACCAGCACTGTGTACTTTACATGGGCCAGAAGGAAAAATTGAGAATCTTCATCTACTATTTTAAAGCCCCCTCCATGGGCCCCAGTGTCCTGGGGCAAAGAGTCGCCTCTTGATGGGTGGGAGTGGAGGGTGAAGAAGCAGTGTGACGGTAGGAGAGAGAAGGGAGACTGTGGGCATCCCCGTGGGGGGCCAGGGCCCAGCCCCAGGGACACGGAGCGCCTTCTAGGAGCACTGCAGGGAACAAGCAGGCCATTGTGTTTGGGGAAAGGCCAGAACCGATCCTTGGCAGTCCTCAGAGAATCACTATGCAAAGAAAGAAATCTCTTCTTTGACACCTCCAGACTCGCTTCCAGCTCCCACTTCTTTGGAAGGGGTTGGGGAAGGTGAGGCAGTGGGGAGGTTTGACGGGGCCAGGGCGGAGGCTGGGGTAGGTGAACCCCCCTGTCCCGGCCAGCCCTGCCCACAGAATGAGCGAGTGTAGCAGGCCACAGGAAGGCTAGGGTCCAGGAGGTGCCGCAGAGCAAAAACCACAGAGACGGAGGCCTCAGGGCCCGGAGAAGGCAAGGGTCCAGCAGAGCTGCCCTCAAAACGCCGGCTGAAGAATCCATGTGGAGCAGTGACAACAGTTACCTTACACCCCAGGCCTTCAGGAGCGTCGTTTTATTCTCAGAAGGCCCAGTGGCCTGTGCGGAACAGTACTCTGGGTTGAAATCCTGGGTTGAAAGCAGGAGGTGAGATGTTTTACAGAAAAGGAAAAAAAAGTTTCCACGGCCACACAGATTTGGAAGACATTGCTTAAAGCATAATATTTGGAAATATTACAGATAGAATGAGAGATTTATAATCACAGTGGATGCTTTTTTGTTAATTAAGGAATGTAAAGGTGCTTACAAGCCAATCTCATTGACTCATTTCACCAATGAAATGCCTGCCCCGTGGACAAAGCGTGACCTGCCCGGGGTCCCACAGCTGGCTAGCAGCCCGGCCACACCACGGTGTGGAGCTTCTGGTCCAGCTCAGCACCCTTGCCCACAGGCTCTCACGCAGATCAGGGCCTGGGGTTCTACCTCCCATGAGCAACTTGCACTCCTGGAAGAACACACACTCTAGAGCTCACGACAGAAAGGATGTGCGTTTCTCCGAAACTTAAATAGCATCAAGCCCAGGCCCATTTCATTTCCAAAACAGATGCCCCAGGAAAAGAGCACCCGACTTCAACGGATCTGATAACACACCCCCTTTCTCTCCATACTCCCCCAGTGAAGTGGAGCCTCAAAGCGCCCCTCAGGGGAGCCTGGCCTCACCAGGGCTGGGCGCGCTGACTTACCTGTGCTGGGCATGTGGTTCACGCGGGCAGGGTTCAGCAGCTCCACTGGCTGGTCTCGGCCAGAAAGTCCATCTGGAGGACAGAGAAAATATGTGGCTTCAGAGGCTGCTCGCATTTCAGTGAAAATACTGCATACTCAGAGTCTTCAAGGAGCGACTCCTTGCAAACAATGGAAATGGACGCGTCCTTACTTTTAAAGGAGAACGGTTTTAATTCCATCACAGGTTATTTTTACTTGCTGAATCAGAAAACGAAAGCCCCTTTGCACAGAATAACCAAAACAGTCCTCTACTGAAATAGGCCACACAGACTTCTGGGCTGAGGGCATCTGGCTCAGCCTCGTTGGTTTACTTCAGTTCAGCAACCACATTATACCTACTTGTGTTTATCAGAAGTCAGCTTTTCTGCACAGCCCACAAACATTAAGATAATAAAAGCAGAAGAGCCACTCAGCCTCCTCCCAGATACGGACCCAAGGCCTAGGTGCTAACAGAAACACAGCCCCGGGAGCCCAGTGCCAACAGCTGTGGGGCGTGCTTGCAGGACAGCCAAGGAAACGGACTAAGACTCACAAATACGCTTTTAGGGAAATACTTGGCCATGTATTTACAAGCGAAGGAATCACGTCTTTTGAGTCCACTTTTAGCTTGTACTCAGACTGACTGCAGAGCCGGAACTGGCTCCCAGCCACACCTACACCTGGAGCGCGCTGCATGCAGACTGCCCAGATCCTCCACATTCTCTCAGGCAGCGGAGAAAGAAAACTGGCGAAACTTCCAGGAATCACACTTTTCTTTTAAAATTAGCTTCTGACAAGCGGTGTAACACGGCCTGCAGTAACAGGCACGTCCTCACTGATGCTGACGTGGCGGTCATCCTCATTACTGATTTAGGGGGAAAGCTCTAGTGTCACAAAGCAGCCATCAGCTCCCTTAGCCAGACTCTCAAATCATGACAAAAACAAATAACATCAGGTCCACTGACTTTGTAACAAAAGCTTGCTTTTTACCCTAAATGGATATTACCTTGCACAGCCTTCAAATTTCGTGTTACACAGCCCCTAGTGTCTTTGGAGACATGCAAAATCCGAAACCCCGAAGAGATCAAAAAGTGCGCTCTGAGATCTGAACCTGCCCGAGGAAAGGAGGGAGACATGAGGCCTTCTGAGGTGCCTGCCACGGAGGCCTGCGTGAGCCACGCTCACCGCACCCAGGGGAGAGAGACGGAGCTGCCCAGGCCTGCCGCCCGCAGCAACGGTGCTCCAGGGCAGCCCAGAGGACCAAACACCAGTGCCTGGAGTCCCCTCGCCCACACCAGCAACGCTCTCCCCGACGCTGGCAACTTTAAGGCGTTAAACAGCTTTAAGAAGATGTGAGGCACTGGGGGCTGAGACAGCCCAGGCCCCAGAGTCAGGAGAGGAGCAACAGGCCCGAGCTCTATCTGGAAAGCAAACAATCACCCCAACCATCAGCACCGATGGTTTTGCTCAGGAACACGGCCTCCCAAGACGCCTGGACCCTGAACAGCAAGCCCCACCCGTGTCACAGCAGCACCTTCACTGCCACCCAGAAAGAGACCTCGAGACATGGGTGGCAAGTTCTTATAAACCTTTCTTCCTGAAAATGAACACATGGAACTTATTTCCTTTATAAACAATTCAGAGAAGCATGTCCATATTTTATAAAATTCTAATCCCATTGTAAACACTTTCAGAAACACCAGAAGGTGCTCTTGAAAACCCTGATGTAGCTGCCGCTCTACCCTGGGCTGGCGTCAGGAGCACGGTGCTCAGAAAGCGGTCCTGTCCGTGGCTCGTCACTGGGATCTGGGGATCCGTGGGGATTGGAGCGTTCTTTGTGGCTTCCACTAGCCAATACATGTCCCCTGAACTGCCCTCTTCCACTGTCACCTCCTCAATGTCCACCTTCAGATTCCATCTGAGTGAAAGCTCTAGAGGCAGAAACAGTTTAGGAACCCTGAAGCCAGCGCAGTGTCCTCGTTTTGCAAATGAGGCAAGTCCAGCTTCCAACGGCAGTTAGAGGCAGCCCCGGGGCGGGGCCAGCATCCCAGCTCACGCAGTGACCTTTTCTCCAGTTTGGGAGTGAGCTGCTTACGTCTGCCCCCAGCCCTGCAGGGCTAATTACTCCAAAGCCATGTGCACAAATGGTGCATAATACATGCTACTTTGACCCACGCTAAAGCAGGAAGATGCATCAAATCTCAGTGCAATCAATTCAGAGTGTAAGTTACGGATATGTGGTATCAGTGTATTCACAAGTATGGCCCATGTGTTTTAAATCAATGTATGGCTCAGCTGAGTCAGCTCACACGAAATTTCTGGGCACTTAGACTGGGGTTAAGTCCCAGTTAGTCATCAGAAGTAAATTAATCGTATGTATGAACTAGCTGGCACACCAGAAAAGGTCGTTTGATAAGAGCATGATGGATTCCATATATAAGCCTAAAGCTTGACAGGCCCCACCCGGTTCCGTGAGAGGGACACTGCTGGGCTGGCTGGCACGGCACCCTGTAAATTTAAACCCTGACCCTGACAGTTTCACATCCTTGTGGAATGATGTCAGACTTAGAAAGATCTGGAATGAAAACCACTCTGACTTGCATTAGGTTAATATTAAGCGCCTCGCCTCTCCAGAGAAGGGCCACCATGTGAAACTGTCTGAAAACAGCAGGAGGGTCTCTGAATACATATGTACTGCAGAGGAGCCATCATGGACATCGGCCTGTCACGCAACATTTCCAGCGCAAAGCAGGAAGCAGCATGAGCCCTCGATAGCTGGAAACATCACCAGCAGCCCTGTGCTGTTCTCTCTCCTGGCTCCTCTGCAAATCACCATTCACCCAGACACCATAAGCAGACGCCGCATTCCTTGTTAGGAAAGAGGGTTACAGAAGCCAAAAACTACAAGGTATTTTCACAGAAGAGTGCTGATGGAACAGCAGTGGGCAGGCCCGGCCCCACAGAGCTGGGCAGTGCCCCAGTGCCTGGGAGGTGTCTCTGGGCAGAAGCAAGCAATGGCACAGTCACCAAGCACAGACCAGATGCAGGGAGGTGGTGCACAGAGAAAGGAATGGGTTCCTGGGTATCCAGACAGGCATCCATATCTCCTAATACTGGCTCCGGAGGCCTAGCGTTAGCTGGTTCGGGTGCCCAGACCTCAAGTCTTGAATGTACAGCCCTGGGCATGTGGTGAGGACCCCAACATCACAGGACAAAGACCCAGGCTTGGGGCCACTGGGAGCAGAGAGGCATGCAGGGCCCTCCTCTAGCCTCTGAGGATTCAAATCTAATTACCGAGAAAAGATGCGCCAACTCCCCATGACCCCTGCAGCGGGGCCCTGTGTGTGCGGGTGATGGGCAGCACCGATGTGAAAGTACACAGACAAGAAAGTTGGCCACGCCGACGGAGTGAAGCAGCATCGTCGCTCTGCATCACGGGGACCAGAGCCGTATCTAAACATACGTGGAGTATGTGGCCGTGCCCAAGAAGACAACACTCTGACCTGTGAAACTACACACAACTGCTTCTTGATATTCTATTACTTGAGACACCACATTCCAGAGTGAGCTAACAGGAAATGAGTAATGAGGAGCGTAATTTCCACATTTACCTGCCTCTTTGTTGAAATTTCTAATACTGGGGAGAAAGCAGTGGTAGGAAACTAAACACTTACATGCAAGGAGACAGGGAAGAAGGGAGTCAAAGTACCACTTCCCCTCGCGCCATGGAACACTGAACACCAGCTGCAAGCAGGCTTCCTTCCTGAGCCATCTCCACCTGAGGATCTCACTGTGGAACCCCACTGGTGGGACCATGGTACTTCATGTCCTCAAATGGTGTTTGAATTAGCTCAGGGAGTAGAAGATGAGCGCCACATGCAGAAGAGGGGAAGCTGGGAGCACGAGTGTCCTCCGTGTCTCCTCCACCATGTGACTCACCACGAGTGTGCACACAGAACACAGTCGCACACGCAAATGGAGCTGACTGAATCACGCTTGCAAAGGAACAGCACGGTCAGTTTCGGTATTATAGGATCCAGCTTAAATGTCATGGTTCGCTGTAATTCAGTATCCTCCCGATGGACACAGCTGGCTTGCAGAATTCCACCCTGTGTGATATGCAGGAGGTGTAGCTAACTAGAATCATGGTCTGCAGAGCCACAGGAACCTTCCAACCTGCCCGGCCTTCTCCCCTGCCTGAGCGCTGTGCCCAAGGCCATGCAGTTAGTGCCCCAGTTCTGTGTCACAGAGACCAGTCACAAGCCTGAACTGGACCTGGGGCAAAAGGTTACTCACCAAGACCAGTGCCATTCAACCCAGGGCTTCAAATCACAAAGGCCGAATTCCTCCTGGCCTCAGGAATGTGCCCTAATCACGATTAAGATAGAGGGAAGAAAGGAGGAAAAGAAGAGACAACAACAGGAAAAAGAGAAGAAAAGGGGAAAAAAAAGAAACGAAGGCACATCACCATTATAATTTATGCCCTCCTTCACTTTTCAGGCCCACAAGGTCTTCTGCAGAACTCGCTGGAAAATCAGGCAGGTAGAGAGCCACAGGCCCAGGGAGGCCCCACAATGAAGACCTACGCAGCAGCCTGCCCCGGCCCATTCCAAAGAACACGGACCAGGGTCAGGGGTCAGACCATGCAGTCACCCAGTGGGTACTCGCATATTGCAGACACTGGGCAATTTCTATGACAACTCCCACAGAATCTATAGGACAAAAAAAAAACAAAACAAAAACTACAGATACTGAATGAAAAGGCTCAAGCCCTTCCCTGAAACGCATAATTAAAGAGGATCTGCATTTTACTGCCAACAAGAAATGACGGTTCTTGGACCAATAAAGATAGGACATGAAAACACACACACAGGTTACCTAATGAGAGATGGGGAGGGCAGGGGAGGGGAGAGAAGGGAGGAGGAGCGGAGGAAGGATAAGGGGAGGGGAGGGGAGGGGAGGGGAAGGGAGAAACTGTGTGATTCCCACAATTGGGAAATGGTTTCCTAACCACCCCCCACACTACCCAGCCTACCCTAGTGGGATGAAGGGGCATCTCACTGAGGTTAAATTTGCCCTTTTCGGATGACAAATGACACCAAGCATCTTTTCACATGGTTACTGGCTGTTCTGAATTCAAGTCTTTTGTCCATTTTTTTGTTAATTGGGTTGTCTTTTTCTTACTGCTTCAGAGGAATTCTTTAAAAATTCTGACCAGGAATCCTCTGTCAATGACATGTTGCAGACATCATCTCAGAGACTATGCCTTCTCTTTCCTTAAGGTCGCATTTATCAATCTTTCTTGTAAAGCTTATTTACACTTTCTGTGTCAGATTTAAGAAATTCTTCCCTCCCTGGAGGTTGCAAAGGTATTTTACCATACTGTCATCTGAAAGTTTTGTGGTTTTCCCTTTTATGTGTACATTTCTCTCTGATATTGACTTTCGTATACGGTACGAGACAGGGATTTTTGTTTTTCTGTCTTTTTCCACGAGAACAGCCAAATGTCCCATCACCATTATTAAGATGTCTTACTTTCATCACTGATCAGCAACATTAGTTCTGTCAACAAGCCAGATCTCTGTCCCACTGGCCAATCTGTTTATATCTGTGCCAATAATCACACTGTCCTAACTACCACAACTTTATAGTAATTCTTAGATCCAGCAAGGCAAGAATCCCTTTTTTCTTCAGAATTATCTGGGGCAATATTAGTCCTTTATTCCATGACACAAATTTTAGAATCAGCTTGTCAAGTTCCACCAAAAAAAAAGAAAAAGAAACCTCTGACCGGGACTGCACTATATCTAGAATTTGGGGAGAAGAGAATCTTAAGAATATTACGTCTTCCAATCCATGAATTTAGAATATCACTTCATTTCATCTGTCTCAGAAAAGTTTTAGAATCTTGAGTGTAGAGCTCTTGAACATCTAGATCTATTCCTAGGTATTTGATGTTTTAAGTAAAATATTATAATTGGTATTTTAAATTTTGATTTCTGTCTGCTGGTATATAGAAATACAATTAATTTTTATATATTGGTTTTGTATCCCAGCATCTTGCTAAACTTATATTCATTCTAATCATTTATCTGAAGTTACTCTGAATTTTCTACATGCAGAATCTTGTCACCTACGATAATCACAGTTTGTGTCTTCCCCTCCAGGCCTCAGGTCTTTTCTTTCTTTTTCTTGCCTTATTCTATTGGCTGGGACCTATGGTATTATTGAATAGAAACTGGGATAGAGGACACCTTTGTATTGTTTCTGATCTTACTGGGACTGTTTTCAATGTTTCACCAGTAAGTATCAGGCTTGCTGTGGGTTTATGACAGATAATTTTATTAGGTTAAGGAAGTTCTCCTCTATTCCTAGTCCACCAAGACTATTTTCAAGTCATATACGCATGCCAAATTTTATTGTTTTCTTGTATCAATTCATATTAATGAATAATTTCCCCTTCCATCTGGAAATATGGTGAAATTTCTTTTCTCACGTCAAACCAACTTTTCATTCCTGCAATAAACCGACTTGGTCAGGTCCAGTGAGTTTTGAGGCAGAGAATAAAGTCATACAGATATTAAGGGATTCCAGCTAGGCCAGCTAGGATTCCAGCTAAGGAGCTTTTCTACTTTTGACTCCAAAGAGTTGGAGACCTATCCCCACATTTCAGTCTTAATTCACACTTCATCAGTGGTCATGAATATAAAAGACTTAGATAATATTCTCAAATGTGTTTAGTGGGGATTGTTTAATGTAGATGAAAAAAGTGAACTGGGGGTGACAGAGCTGCATGTCACCCGCTTTATGTAACAGCCGTGTACATATGTCATCATTTTAACAGAGCTGGTTCTCAGACACACGGTAACGGAATCTCGGGTGTTGGCGGCAGTAATAATTCAAAGTCTTTATTCTAGCCAATCTTAGTATCCATTCTTATTTTTTTATGCAAACTTTTTACTTTAGAACAGTTGTGGATTTACAGAAATATTAAAAATAATACAGAGAGTTCTTGCATACTCTGCACCCCGCCTCCCCTCCGATTGACATCTTACATTAGGATGGTACGTCTGAGTTATCATTAACTCAAGTCCAGACTTCATTCAGGTTTCCCCAGTTTTTCCCTGATGTCCTTTTGCTGTCCCAGGACCCCATCCAGGAATCCACATGACATCTAGGTGTCACACCTCCTGAGGCTCCTCTTGGCTGTGATAGTTCCTCAGACTTTCCTTGTTTTTGATGGCCTGGATCATTTTGAGGAGAATTGGTCAGGATTTTGTCAGATGTCCAGCAATCGCGGTCTGTCTGACATTCTTCTTGTGATTGGAGTGGGGTTGCGTGTTTTCAGAAGAAAGACCACAGAGGTGAAGTGCCATTCTCATCACATCATGTTGAGGGTAGAGACCACCAAGATGACACATCACCGTTGATGTTGACCTTGATCACCTGGCTGAGGTGTGTTCCTCAGGTCTCTCCACCATGAAGCTGCTCTTTATCCTTTCCATCAGACACTTAAAAATTACACGAGCTTTCCTCCTCCCTTACTTCTCAGGAGTTATTACAAGATGAGCAGACCCACTCAGGGAGGCAGCGTGGAACACCCGAGACAGAGAGCAGCCTAGGTCTGGGTCCCAAAGGAGAGGGCAGGAGCCAAGGTGCAGACAGGCAGGGCCAGGCCAGAACCGTACCAGAACCGCTGCTGGTGCTCGGGGAGAGCTGGGTGTGAAGGCTCTGAAGTCACCAGCCTGGTTCAAGCCAGCTCTGCCTGCACGCAAGCCGTGAGCCTGGCCCTCAGTCTGAATTTCTCAGGCTCTCTGAAGCAGGGCCAGCCACAGGCCTGCTTGGAAGATGGGTGTGAGAGGTGGTCCTGCATCTCAAGGGCTACCCAGGGCCTGGCGAGTAGTCAGCACATTTCTAGTCATAAGAATGATGGCATTCCTCCCCCTTCCTCCTCTTCCCCCTCTCCTCTAATCTTCTGTGAACTCTAATCTAAGAGGGAACTTGCTAGAATGTCTGCAAAGGAAATGAGTTCCTCCCTAGTAAATGTGTGAGCCCCAGTGTCTGGTGCCGGCTTTCATGCTGCCGCTGGGATCCGCTTATTGCTCCCTCATACGTGTGTGACAAGCAGGAGGTTCTGGAGGGGGAGATGGCACCATTTCCTGGACTGGGGGCCGGGCACTGTGCCAAGGGAGGCGGCCTCGAGATGGAGCAGACGCAGTGGATACACTATGTTCTGAATGGGGGGGCCTCAGCTGAGAAGGAGGCGTCGCGCCCTTCCTGTCATTTCAAATCTGGAACCATCTGCGGTTCTAGAAGGGATCTGATGGCAGCCTCCCTCCGATGTGTTGGGGATACTGAATGCATAAGTGCCCGAGGGCTGATGTGGAACAGCAGAGGCCCCAGGTACCCTTAAACTTTAACTTAATGAGAAAAGTCAGAATTCGTGCAGTAGGAATGTGTATGTGTGTGTGTTGTTATTAAACTCAACAAGGGAAAAAAGATTTTTAAAACAGATTAGCCTTTACAAGGACAAATAATTACAAGGTTCTCTCTTCTAGTGAAAGACATTCAGGCCTGTCTGTGGCCTGAATGAAGATGGAAGGGAAGCCTGTCTGCTTGCAGGCCTGGTCTCAGGAAGACAGCCTCCGGGCCAACAGCACACAGCAGGTGTCTGTGAGAAAGCACTGCGGGCAGAGGCTCCCCCGCTGAACACTCCCCCATCTTCTGCAGGACCTGGTGGGGTGCACGATTATGCACAGCCCCCCTCACATAGCGTGCAAGTCAGGGTGGAATTACTGGCGTGTCTGTCTGGATTCAGCAGCCAGCATGCCTTCCCAGGATGTCAACGTGAAGCGACAATTCCTGCCCCTAACCTGAGTGACCTATGGACCCGTTTTACTGGAAATTTGATCCCCTTATTCATTTAAATGATAAAAGGGAACTCAGTACACAGAAATGTCAGCTCATAGATGGAAATGATTCATCAGGTCAGCAAAACACTCAATTCCCCCTTCCCTTGACCTGAACGACTCAGAGGGGTCTCCAACTCCCACTGCAAGCAGAACTTGCCCCTCCTATCCCATCTCCTTCCTCTCTGCTCTGCTCCCAGCCTCCTCTGTTGAATGCCCCTCCATCCCTCTGGGCACCCCCCCCCCCCACCATCCCTCGTCCTCCCTCCCTCTCACAGCCCACCTCCAGCAGTGCCCTGGGCCCAGCTCACACCGCACCTGCCCTGACGCTCCATAGACTCAGGCCAACCAAACGGGCACCTCCCTGGGTGAGCTCTGCTGCCAGCCTCCAGAGTCCCAATCCATTAAATGTTTCTTTTCTTCAGCGTGCAAATTATTGAAAAATACCAAAGTTCTGTAATAAAGCTTGTGTCTGCCCATTAATATGAATTAAACTTTAATGAGGTAAGTGCTGTGAATTCCTGAGGCACGTCCCACACAGTTTATGTGTATTTATTACAGAAAATGAAAATGGAAGATATATTCTTGTTTCTAAGCAATATTTTTTCCTTCAGGAAAATCAGGCAGACTTTTAAAACGTCAAGGCTAATCTATGGAGTATTCTTGTCTTCCTCTAAAAATCAAAACTAGCTCTAGCTGCCAGTTATAGGAAATATGAGTTTAAAGGGACATGTTCAAGGGAGACCAGGGGGCTACGATGTGCAGGCGGGAAAACTCCAGGACAAGTGGCCCAGCTCCTTCACGGGGATGGGGTGACCTGCTACAGGTTAGAGATCTCAGACATGTCAGTCAGTCACGTCTGCATCCTGACTGGAACAGACAATTGTCAAAAGACATTTTTTAAGACAACCAGTAAAAATTGAACAGAGCTTGCGTATAAGATGATATTTGGGAATTATTTATTCACTTTGTTGAGTATGATAATGGAAATGTATCCGTTAGAACCACAAATAAGTATTTATGGGAAAATGCTGTGGCATCTGGAATTTGTTTTAAATGCTCCAGGAATTAAGGTAGGGAAGGGGGACCAATGAAGTGGGAATGGTGCAAAAGCTCAGGATTTTGACGGCTGGAGATGGGCACAGGGGGACCACTATATGAACTAATGTCTCTCTTTTTTCCTACGTGTGTGAAATTTTTCATAATAAAACTTTTCAAGCGATGCCAAGAATAAAGACAAGCCCTCATTTCCTATTCCATAGCACTTGTCCTCCTTAACATCTGTTCGATCATCAGTCTAACTAGTTGTCTCACTAATAGTCGTAACAATCTTCAGGTTATTACCAGCCCTAGCTGTGCAAGCAAGCAAACGGTCCCAGTTAACATTCCACGCAGCAAACAGGTCCTGGGCAGCTGAGATGTGACGATGAACAGGACACGGGGCCCTGCCTAAGTCCAGCTGAACTCAGCTCGTGTGGGCAGGGCCTTGGCCTGCTCTGCACCCCGACACGGGGTCTACGTGACGCCGGCCGGTGGACCCCCCAGGCCCTGCCCTGCTTCTCTTGCACCCCCACCAAGGCTTACTTTCTAACACCTGAATTCATAAAGGGCAAACAGGCCCAAGCGTGCAAATGGCCTTGGCCCCAGACGCTGGACACCAAGCAGGATGGCTGAAGCTAAGAGAAAAGAAAACAGGGAAGGAAGAGTCACAGCCCAGGACTCAGGAGTTTTCTTTGGGAAAATTCAAAAGTGGAAAACTGCTGCCTCACCTACACCTGTTTGAGATACGATCCACAAAACCAGAGAGCTTTGGGCAGGAGGAAGGAACTACGGCGAGCCCTGACCACCAGGTGCAAGGAGGAATACGGATAATGCAGACCGCGCACAGCCATGAGCACCCCGAGGGCAGAGTGGGGCCTGTCCTGTCCCCACAGAGTCCTGGACCGAGCACACAGCTGAACAACGCTGACCGAGCGAGTGACAGAGCAGGGACACGAGGGAGCGAGTCAAAGAGAACAGCTTTGCGGGTGGGTGCTGCTGGAGTCCGGGCAGCCGCATTCTGGAAGGTCAGATGAAGCCGCACTCCGTTCTCTCTGGCTGGAGGGGACGTTTCCTGGAGGGAGCTTCTCAGGGAATCTTTCAGACACTTCTCCAGGGACTGGTCTGGTCCTTCTCCTTGCTCCCTAAGTGAGACAACACCGAGATGGACAGCTCTCAGCTGCTCCCCACCGAGCAGCACAGCCCAGCTCAACCGTTAATAAGTGATTTAGAAAATCAGGAGAAAATGTCCCAGCCTGCCTTTGAAAACAGATCCGTCTCTGCTCCGGAGAGGATGTCCATCTGCCCTGTGGGGAGGATGCAACCGGCTGAGTCATTCCCAAGCTGTCTGTAGAGTCCTAGAGGCGGAGGAGGGGAAAATAACCTCGGAAGTAAGATGAGCAGATTTCTCAGAGTCTGTATAAGAAATAATACCCAACAGAATTGACACGGGGCCACCGCAAAGAACACACAGCAAATTCGTACGTATCTCGATGACTAACACAAAAGTTTTCTGGATGGGTTCCCTTGGATGAAGTTAGTAAGGACAAAAAGTAAGGTAGTTATCAGCAGACTGGAAATTAGCTCTGCTATGTCTGGTGCATAACCACACTTTCTCCCACTGCTCAGACCGACCTGCGCGTCTGTGAAAACCCGAAGGCAAACTTTCTAAGTGTCTCCATCAGGGCGGTTTTTCTGCAGGCGTCTGATTTTCTGGACTAATGCCTCTTAACTGCCAAGCAGCCTAATGAACAAAATTCCTACCTGAATTCAAGCCCTCACCTGGACAGAGCGACTCCTGCGAGGGAGGAGGCTGTGTCCTGGAGGTCGCGCGGCCCCCTGGTACCTGGGGTCAGACAGGCTGGCTTCCACCCATGTACAGGTTCACTAGTAATCACGTTACTTAAACTCAGACTCAGGCTCCTCATCTGTTAAGTGGAGATGTAGACTGATGGAGGGAGTAAATAAAACACCTCCTCGAGAACAGAGCACAAAGTATGTTCCTCCCACACTTGAGTGACGCCAACTCACAGTCCTGCCAGAACACGGGACGTATGTGTGGTCCCACGTCAGGCCAAATCTGACTCAGGCCAAATCGTCTCCTGAAAATGTGAGTCAGCAACTAAAACCACTTAATGGATGAGCATCCTCCCAGAACACTTTCCGCAATGCTGAGCATTAAAATTTAGCTGAAAGGTGTTTGTGGTTAAGTGACAGGAAGCCAGAAAATAGGTACATATTAATAAGCAGCTAATGAGTAATGAGTCACTAACTCATAACAATAAACCAAAAATGGCTGTTTAGAGAAAGTCTGCGCAGTTACCTGCGCTAAGTCCGTGGCTGGATTGCATTTAAGGGGGAATGCGCCCCAGGAGGCCTGGGCAAGATGGAAAACAGAGCCGGGGGCCTGGCTCCCCCTTTCTCCAGCAACACTGGCCCCTAAAGCATTTCCCGTTCTTAGAGAAAAAGGATTCTTTGCCCTGCTTCCTTAATGCAACGTTTCAGAAGTGTCAGCACCTGGCAGACTCAGGTAATGCTCCACCACGCTAGGCATGTAGGGACCGGGAGGAGCCGGCCTGACCCCCAGTGCAGCTGCCCAAGGGACACGCGGCCCTGGTGGTCCGCTTGGCAGATGTCTGCTGACAGCGTGCTGTAGTGACGGCCAATAGGCACCCTGGGTTGAAGGACTTTCTCCCCGAGTACTCTTCAGGACAATATTTACTTCAATTCACTAAAAGCATATTTCATCTTTCTAAACTATTATGCTCACCAGATCTTGCCAGAACTAAACAACAATGCAATAAAGTCTACATTCTAAATTAGAAATAACAGCCCACTTATATCGGGCGCTAATGATGAGTCAGACACTCGTCGGACTGTTTCATGCACATTAGCTCATTCAGTCCTCACAGGGAAACGAATGGCATAAATACTATTACTGCCCCATTTTAAAGACGATGAAACTGAGAGAGACAGAGAGCATGAAGGTCATCTTGATCAAGGTCAGAACCAACCGCAATTCTGTCTCTCCACACTTACCCAGTCAAGCTACAGGGTCCATACCACATCATTCATTCATTCATTCATTCAACAAATTTCACTGAGCTAGCTATTGAGCAATTGTCATTGCCGTGTTCTAACGTGTGAAGGGATACAGCCTTCAACAATATTGAGTCCATGCACCCCAACCTTCCACGCATGAAGAGGAAATGACACACACATAAGAGATCACATGGCATCATGTGCTGGAAACAAAAATCACATGGGTAGAATGTGATTGGGGGTCGTTCCTGTACATAAAGTGACCAAAAAAGGCCCTTGTGAGGTGGTGACATTTGAGGAGACACCTAAATGACACGTGAGAAGGCGCCGTGTAAACTCCCCCAGGGAAGGGCATCCTAGACGAGCGAGTAGAAGTTTAGGCCTGCGGTGAATCAAGCCTGGTGGGCTCCACGCAGCAGAGCCGAGGAACCAGGGCAGAGCGGGAGGAGATGGGGTCGGGGAGGCGCCAGGGCCAGGCCACAGGTCCTGAAGGCCACTGGAAGACTTGAGTTCTGTCTTTTGCCTTAAAGGCTCATTTCAGTGCCGTGTGGAATGTCCACCAGGGCCAGGGAGCAGAGGGTCACTGGAAGCAGGAATGAGAGCAGGGCGGTTTCGGGCCCAGGGCTCAGAGGACGGGGGTGGCACGGAGCTGGGAGAAGTGGTCCGATTTGGGACCTATATTGATCCATCAGGACTTTGGATGGGCTAGATTTGGGTGTTGCAAGGCAAAGCCATTCGCTAAGGTGCAAAGACAACAAAAAGATTGGCAGGTGGTATTATGCTTGGGGGAGAGTGGTGGAAACCAAGAAGGCACGTTTTACTGACCTTGTTAATTCTAAGAGACCTACTCGTCCTTTTGAAGAGCAGACAGAACTTCAAAACTTCCTCTGATAGTTGCTTTATGACTTTCTCACCAAAAAAAACCCCAACAAAACAGCAAAATGATCAGGATTTGTGTCAATGGTTCAAAATTCACGTTAATATATATTTTCGTCTAGACTATTCCACTCATGCTGCCAGTCTGTAAGTCCTAATGCTGCTCCCCCAACCCTAACAGCATTGTTTTGACTGCTGTCCTACCTCCCACCATCCAGAGACCCAGCAGCATCTTCTGAAATATTTATTAATTTCTTTAGCTAAGTTGTTGGGGAAAAAAAAATAGTGGGAGGTGGTTTAACGTTAAATGATACACACTCCATCCAGAAATCGTGTGTCAGGAAAGAGAGTGAGTAAAATAGACACAAGTGGTGAAGTATGTGTCATTTATCCGGCTGGGCGCTTCCTAGCAGTTTCGTTTCTCTTGCCCCACTACAGACGAGCTTCCGCCACTGAAGCACGGCACCCAGCGGGAGCTCTGTGCTTCAGAACACGGCCCTGGGCTGGGGCATGGCCTCGGGGTGCGCTGCTGCTGAGCCTCCGGAGCATCTCCCTGGGCAGCCTGCAGCACCTGTCACCCTGTGAAGTCGCTACACGTTTCCCATTGTGACGCACAGATGTTCTCTGGGTAAATAAAGCACACTGGTTTAATTCCATTTCTCTGACAAACACTGTCAGGAGCTGAGTGCTCCAGACACGGCATCAGGTGCCGGGAGGCCCGTGCTGACTGAGGCACAGCGTCCGCCCTCAAGAGACACAGGCCTCAGAGGAGATGACCAGGTAATAGCACCATTTCATCCTCAGCACGCAGCCTCCAGCCCCGGAGACGCATCCAGAGACCCTGCACTCCCTTGCCGGAACCAGTGGGGGTGACAGCGACTTGCAGACAGTGCCAATGTGACCAGAAACTCATGTCCATGTGACTCGAGAACTGCCCACCATTCCCATGGCCCAGTCAGGGCTACCTGTCCCCGTCTGCGGCTTGGGGCTGCCATGGGCTTGAGACTCCCTCTAGAAGCTCACATTGGGGCAAGAGCAGTAGGTTCACAATCACAATACTGTTCCAAGTTGCAGGCCACTGAGTGGAAGCATCCAGAAGTCCCAATGGTTTCAGTGCTCCCTCTCAGCAGTGACTCCTGACGTTCAGCTCTCCTGACATCTCAACCTTTCTCAGGAGAAGTGGATCTCAAGGGATCCAGCCCTTGAGCGTCTAGGAAAGGACCTTCCTCCCTGGAAGCTGCCACGCTCCACCTAGCTGCCGGTACACTGGATGGAAAGACCATTTTCCGTAGCCTGACCCCGGACTGTCACGTTCCAGGAGGGCCCTGCTGTTAGGGCTCGCAGCAAAAGGAAGACAACAGAAGATTGTCTCGTGAATGACGCCAGGGGAAGCTGCTGGATCTGGGACTGGGTAAAGGCCTTCCTCTGCCCGTGTGGCACCCTCCACCTCCAGCGGGCACACAAAAGGGCCTCCTCAAAGCCACCTGGTCCTTCTGTAGTCCTGAGCTCACATGTGCTCACCCGAGCACCAGGCCGAGGGCTGACGGGAGAGCGAGGGAGGGTCTTTCAAGAGGACTGGTTTCTGTGTCCTAAGCTGTAAACCACTGCAGGAAGTTTTCTTTTCCTTAATTTTTGTACGACCTAATAACATAAAGCACATTGTTTTTTAAATTTTCCAAAGTTTTTAAAACATAATTTTTATAAAAACAAGAGGAGGACACACAAATTACGCCTCCCAAATGCCCCAGCTGTTAGCCTTTTAGCTGATTTACAGAGATTTCCAGTCCCCCAGGGAGGTCGTGTGCAGCTACGACCACAGTGTGACCCACACACTGTCTCCTGGTTTATGCGCTCACAGGCACCTCCCTAGAGAAAGCCTAGAAAATGCTCTCCCCACTGCACAAGGCTGCCAGCTATTCAAAGGTGTAAATGTGCATTCAAGATAATTGCATCTTCTTATTTGATTCAAGAATACCACAGCACACCCTCCCTCCAAGAAAATGAGCTTTTCTGGGTCCTCTGAAAAGCTGGCGTGCAATCTGTGGAAACACTGTTACATTTTTGTTACACACAATATGGATACACCCTACAGATACAACTTCCCCCAAATCAAGACGAACTAAACCTTATCATTATTCCTTTTGTAACCGTTTTTATACACCACAAACTTCACTTTCTAAAAATACAGTGATTACACTGAATCGTGTTCTATTTTAATCTTCTAAAAATAGAGCTACTGACAGGAGCAGCAATTTGCTCTTAGATGTTAACTATGCTGCTGTCGGTGACAGGATATGGATCTCTGTCCTTTTTATACTTTTCAGTCTGTGGTTTCCGCACGACTACTGAGCAGTCCCGGGCACCTGCGGCAGGTGGCACTGAGGTTCTGGCTGCGAATGCAGAGCTGGGTGCCTGGCACCAAAGTCCAGACCCGCTCCCAGGGGCCCTCGACCTCACACAAACGACAAGGCCAGTCTTCGCCTCATTTACCATATCTGCAAAATGGGTGAAATGATACTCTTCACCTCCAGGTGAGAGGAATAGATTAGGCCGCCGCATAAGCCACCGGCCTGACACCCAGCTCATAGGACCCGCGCACAAACAGCAGCATCACGTGCCACGGGAACTAACACAGTGGGAGCCGGTCCTCCGACGTTCACTTCCACCAGCAGGTTGCTAATTTCCAAGGTTTCAGAAATAACTAAAGAGGAAAATCACAAGACACAAGGGAAAGCACAGAACAGCAAGGAAGCTTTCGCTTGCCAGAGCCCTGCTGTCCCAGGGGAGTCTTCCTGTCAGATGGACAGACCAATGGGCCTGACTGCCACTCCCTCACTGTTCCTCCTCCAGAGGACAGACGTGGCCCCACGCCAAACCAGAAAGAGGCAGACTATGTCCAAATAGCCAGTACGTTAAAAATGGCTTCTAAAAACAAACTTTCCAAATTTTGAAAGCTTCACAGTTCTAAGAAGATATATACCCAAATTTTTAGACTATAATCGCTTCTTTTTTCTTTCTTTTATTTTTGTGAGGAAGATTGGCTCTGAGCTAACATCTGTTGCCGATCTTCCTCTTTTTTTCTTCTCCTCAAAGCCCCAGTACATAGCTGTATATCCTAGCTGTAAGTTCTCCTAGTTCTTCTATGTGGGACGCCATGTCAACACGGCCTGATAAGTGGTGCTAGGTCTGTGCCCAGGATCCAAACCAGTGAACCTCAGGCCACTGAACTGGAGCACACGAACTTAACCACTCAGCCACAGGGCTGGCCTGACTTCTATGTTTTGTAATGGAGTAATTTTTGAATTAAGAAAAAGTAGAAATAAAATCATTTCTCTCCTGCTCCCCCCTACAAGTACATGCCCATTGTTACCATCCAGATTGTTCTCTACAAGCAAACCACCAGGTAACACTCTGCTTGCCCTTGGTTCCTGAAGAAGGGCCCACTGGCCTAGGAGGCTGGAGGCTCCCCTGGCTAAGCTGCCGGCTGTGCACTGCCCAGCGGGGCCTGGGGCAGAGTGGGGGCCTGACACACACTTCTATGCCCAGAGTTTACCTCCTTTATAGAGTACATGAATTGGTGACATGTCTTCATCATCTCACAAGATATTATAATTCTTGGAACAGATCCATTTTATACTATTCAACATTCAACGCAGATGAAAAATCCCGTACCACTATGTTAGTTTGCCAACAATGAGTAGAATTGTGAGGCAAAGGAAATCTGTAGAAATTACACCAAAACAAAACAAAAAACAGCCTTTCTTAATCTGTAAGCAATTTCTTTGAGTTTTATACCTGTAGAGACAGATTATGTCTGACACGTGGGCATGAAGGCAATCGCTAGTTAAAATGAGCTCCCTTAGGTGGGTACTCGGTTCTGACTGATCCAGCATTAAAATATCCACACAATTAGGAAGAAGGCAAGCCTTCGATTCATCCACAAGAGAAGAGGAAGCGGAAGGTAACAGTGGGGGACTCTGAGCTGTTGGCTGACACTCTGAGTTACAGGGACACTGGTGGCAAAACCCAACTCACACCTTGGAAAACACAGGTCCTACTAGTGTCCAGAACACAGAGTTAAACAGAGTCAATCTCAACTTCAGGTACCTGAACCTATCTTGATAGACCTAATCAGTAAGGACCCCTCACCCCCTACTTCAAGAACATAGAAATAGTCAGTATAAGATACATTAAATCCTGCCCTAATATTATATACAGAGTTGAGCTTAAAGAAAGAGAAGATCCCAGCTACCAGGAGGGAAAAGCAAAGAGAGTACTCTGAGCAAGTGCACTCAGATCCAGCTGCCATCCCAGGGTGATCAGAAATGGCCCCAGGGGCGGGTGGAAGAGGTGGCCATGAGCTTGGCCCAACAGAGAGCTGGAACTGAGACCCCTGCATAAGGATGGAACTCCAGAAGGGCCACCAGGTCTATGCCAATGGGGCTGGACACTCCACCCCCAGCCAAGGAGGCAGGAGAGGGTGGCTAGGAAGAGGCTCCTCAGAGAAGCCGAAGCCCCAAGCCTGCGCCCACATGGGTGTGGCCTCCAGAGTCACAGGACTTGAGCAGTTCTGAAATCCTAGGTCTAGGAAGTGAGGCAGAAACTAGTCCAGAGCCTGGAAAGCCCTGGAGCCCCAGGAAAGCAAAGACAAATGGCTTTCCAGGGCTATAGCCACCATCCGGGGCACGGAGACACCCAAAGGAGGAAGAACCAGGTGGGGAGGGGGCGGGGGAGGAGGGAAACACCCTTCTGCTGATGAGGAGTTAACAAGGAAAACAGAAAGTCACAAATGGCACATGGAAGCAATCCACTATGCTAGAATCAGTCAGACAATAAAACAGAGAAACAACTCCAAAATACCTACAAAGAATAAAACAATACGGAAAAGACTACAAAACATGCATGTGTTTAAAAAGTAAGAAGTTAAATGAAGGAAAGAAACAATTATAAAAGACAGGAACCCCAGAAAAAGAGAAATGGAAAGTTGTGAAAAAGAATTTTTTAGAATTGAAAATAGCAGATTAGATACAGCTAAAACAGAAATAATGAATTGGATGATAGATCTAGATAACTACATTGAATGTAGCACAAAAAGGAAAACAAGATAAAGGAGGGGCTGGCCCAGGGGCGCAGCAGTTAAGTACGCAGCACGTTCTGCTTCTTGGCAGCCTGGGGTTTGTCAGTTTGGATCCCGGGTGTAGACATGGCACCGATTGGCAAAAGCCATGCTGTGGTAGGTATCCCACATGTAAAGTTGAGGAAGATGGGCATGGATGTTAGCTCAGGGCCAGTCTTCCTCAGCAAAAAGAGGAGGATTGGGAGCAGTTAGCTCAGGGCTAATCTTCCTCAAAAAAAAAAAAAAAAAAAAGATAAAGGAGAAAGGCTGGTCCAACACAGATCTACAGTCACAGGGAGCACAACAATGTTTTGGTCACAATGGACCATATATAGGATGTGGTCCCATAAGATTAGCACCATGTGGCCCTTGGCGTGTAGTAGGCTATACCGTCTAGGTTTGTGTGAGGACACTCTCTGACATTCACACAAAAGCAAAATCCCCTATTGCCCTTCTCAGAATGGAACGTCATCATTAAGTGATGCACAGCTACGGCATGAATTCCTGCATTAAAGAATGGAGGAAATGCAGAAAAGGTAATAGTCAAATAGAATATTCCAGACTGAGAATATTCCAGAATTCCAGAGACAGAAGAGTCCCTACATTTAAAAAGCATGCTCCATCCCAAGCAGGATAAACAAACACAAATCCATATCTAGACCCGCTGCAACAAAATATCCATAGATCCATCAAACGTGGAACAAGATGGTGAAAGTGCCAAGACAGAAAAGGCAGACCACCTAAGAAGAGACAACAGTAGACTGAGGGCTAATTTTTCCACAGCCACAAAGAAAGCCAGAAGACAACAAAATAGCTTTCAACTGTTGAGTGAAAAACTTGCCACCTACAATTCTATACCCAGCTAAACTATTATTCCAGAGAAAAGACATTTTTCTGACAAAACTTCAGTGTTTACCACTCAGAAACCACGGCTGAAACAACAAAGGATTATTTCAGAAAGAAGACAATCACGTCCATGGCGAAAAGAATAAGACGCTAGAAGCAAGGGTGAGGTGAAACACTAGCAAACATCTAAGTAGATACAGGGAAGTACTGGATACTAAGTTAACACAAAGTTTCATACAGTTACAAAGGCTGCTTTCATTATCCATAATACCGTTTCCTCAAACTGTTGTTGTTGTGTGAGTGTCTGTGCCCCCGTGGGCTTCAAAGCCACTATGTGAAACACCTGGTTGGTTTCCTCTTAACAATGTAAATCCTGAAAATAAACAAGGTTCCCTCCTCACTCTGAAGGCTAGGAAATTCATGTGCAAATTTGTTTGTTTTTGAATAATTATGCAAGACTTAACAGCATGCGTTTCTGGGCTCTACTTCTCTTTGATAGACCATCATTTTTACCTTGCTCTGATTTCTTTATCCATACTCTTAAACAGTCTTCATCAATGAAATAAGAATTAAGCATAGCTGTCCTTGAAATTGCACAGGTACCAAAGCACTCGACACACCCACTATCTGGCTTCTTCTCATTCTAAAAAGGCAACCACTGAAATATGGCCCAGTTTGAGTAACTCTTTGCAAAACTCTTTGCAGAAGCAGAGTTTAGTACCACTGAGAACAGAGTAATGGCTCATCAATCCTCCTTTTAAACACAAAAAGCGACCAAGAATCTGATTGACAGCAATCAATGCGGTGTTCCACTTGACACCACATTTGCATGTCGGAGAGCCCTTCTCTGAAATCAGCTACACTTGTGTAAAAGCAACTCTTTGTGAGAAATAATCAGCAAAAGATTGCTTATCCTTTGCTACACTCAGAAATTAGTGAAAAGTAACCAGCTCTTGGAAGAGGATAAACCACTTTATGCAAATACTTTTGCAAAGGCTCTCTATTAATGCAAATATTATGTTTGTCTTTTATTTGAATGCAAACAGCATCTGTTTTGCACAGTCAATGCCATCACTTTGTAGTTTGTGCTGAGCAGCTCGAGTGTGTTCCAGCTGCTTTTTAGAGTTTGAAACAGATTTCCAGAGAGCCAGAGTCACAAAAAGAAGTTCACTGAAGAGAAAAGAAAGCAAGCAAGTGTGGTGGGGTTCCTGGGGAGGCTTCTTCACTTTTAAGGCAAGAGAGAAACAAATCCAAGAATGAATTCCGGAATTTACTTCTGCAGAGGTTTGGCTTTGTGTGTGGGATTTTGCTGGTTCAATAGTTTTGACTAAAGAGAAAATTAGGATTGCTTTTTATAAATTCCTTTGCTGGGAAACACACTCAGAAGAACAACACATGTTGGAAAGGAAAAACTGGGAGGCACCAGGCTGCCATCAGAGCACCCGACACATAACCAAAGCTGGCTCCCCTCAGAAGGCTCTGACCTCACTCTGCAGCAGATGAGGGTGGTGATCCAGAAGGCTCCCTGCCAACACCGACATCCTAAGATCACGCCACTGTTACTTTTCTGCCTCTGCCACAACACCAAGAGCTCCTAACAAGGGACAAAATTTTGTATCCATGACCTAAAACAATAACTAGTTCAGCAACAGGAAGACTGTGTGGACGGATGGATGAATACGGGTGGGTGGGCGGGTAGATGAATAAACCACGCTACAAATGAGGAAACAAATAATATGAAAAAAACTGACCTGAGGTCCTTCAGATTTCAAATATATTCAACTTCAAAATCTCTACCCAACCAAGAGTACCTGGAAACGGTCTGACCTCAGGACATCAGTAATGCTAACTTTACTGTTCCATTTGCCTGGAAGGCAGATATACTACCGATCAGACCCACCTGACCAAGTATCTTCACGGAATGGACTATGAAGAAAGGAGAAGAACCTGGAAGCTTCCAGATGTCCCTCAAAATAAACATCTGCTCTCACATAAACTTGCCATTAAAACTCCAAAACACCTATTTGGACAAATAATTCTTGGGGTAAATAACAGACTAAACCTTCTAATAACCCCCTTTAATAATTAATTTAGTTATTAATTTCATCTCAA